TTGGTTTGAATATTGTTATTTTTTATTTTTTTATTTTACGTAAAATTTATACGTTATTTTAAATTCCTTAATAATTCCATATACATTAATTTTTTAAAAAATTATAAAAAAATAAATCATTATAAAACATATGGAATTTTGATATAGAATCATATATTACTTATACAAACCTTATAAATAACGTATCATTTCCTTATTTCGATTTCTTATAGGGAAGTTACATTTTAACCTAATTCAAGTCGCATGTGACTTCATAATATAATTATATTATGAAGTCACATGCGACTCAGATTATTATATAATAACAATTTTTTAATATAATTTTACATGAACTAATGATATTAACTATTCATTATTTTAAGTAAATATTTTATAATTAAATGTAACTAATTATATTTGAAAATTTTATTAGTAATTTAGAATCATATAAATAATAAATTTAATATAACATATGTTATAAAATATTAATATTATTTGATAATTAATAAATTTAAAATTTTTAAAATTAAAAATTAAATTTTATATATTATATATATTACTATTTAAAAGTTATATATTTTAAACTTATTATATATAAATTAATTTAATATTTTATAATATAAACTTAAAATCATGTAATATTAGATTAAAATAATTAATAAATTTAAATCTTATAAAAAATAATGAAAAAAAAAAAATCTTAAAATAAATATTAGATATTTTTTTTATAAAAAATAATAGATTTGTATAATATTTAAGTTTTTCATTTTAGGAATGATCGGCAAAAGTTCAATGATAAAATTATTTTTTTATTGGCTATTTATTAATGATCACATGTGAATTGGAACGCGTTGAGAAAAGGATCAGAATTGGTTATTATCATGTGAATTCTAAAATCGCGATCAAAAAGTGTGGTGTATTAAAATGGGAGTTCATTTCAGCTTTGAATTAAAACAATATGATTCATTTTCTGATTATACATAGAATAGGATCAACCGAACTAAAACTTCTCTATCCCAACCAGAGCTTTCCCAATCAGATTGTTTTAATCAAATATGATATAAACTACCTATAAACTACGATGCAAAACGATGCAAACAAATAAGCAGACGATGCGATGTTTAAATAATTAACTTTCTATGTTTAGCAAACCAACGGAACGATTTTAATAATAATTTACTTGTTAAAAAATTTCTTCTCATTTGAATGAAATAAAACAGGAGAGAAATAACGTAATTCCATGACAATCCATATCCCGATATTTTTTTTTGTGGTCTCAAAGTATTGCGCAAAATTAGTATACGTAAATCATCATCGTGAGATTGACCAATTCTTCTATGTGGCCATAAAGACATCATAACTATGCCGAAATTCGAATATTTTTACGACATATTTCCCAGTTTTTGTTTAGCCATTCCTTTTATGACAGGTCAGGGAAAAAAAAAATTATTTTTTTTTTTTTTTGAGAAAAAAACAACTGCAAGTTTTAGGCGTAAATTCAACGACTGATGTAATAATTTTCATCCAAAGTTCAATTAAGCAATTAAGTACAACTGTAATAGTTTGCATATTTGTTATTTGTTTATCATTGTGTGTGCCATTTATGTAATGGGCTTGTGCCTAAAAAGAGAAATTTATTGGGAATGAATAACGATAATAATCATCAATCATGAAAAAAGCCACGCGAAATTGTTGCGGAGAAACTCATCGGCACATTGCGTGATAAAGCTTATTAGGCAAAGACCGAAAAACCCCCGAAAAAAAAAAGGTTCATCATTAGTAACGTATAAAAACTTTTTGGAAACTGTACTTTTGATTTTTAGTTACCTTTAGTTACGCAAAATTATCAGCTGCATTCAAATTTTATTAACACATCCTTTTTTAGGCGAATTAAAAAAACATGTCAGAAATAAGATCAACGAAAACCATAACTTTTTTCACACAAGTGGAACAAATAATTGAGGAGAAATTGAGACGATGATGTCAAAGGAACTAGAAAGACGCCCATGTGGCTAAAATTGATATACAAATTCAACTATCAAATTATATTGGGTATTGAGGTAAAAACCATCTCCATTCTGAAATTTTTCGACAGCTCAACACAATAAATACCAATCAAACAATAACCCTTTGCTGATGCATGCAAAGCGTAGTTGTGAAGCTAAAAATAAAAATAAGATACAAAATTTGCATTATGCTATGCTTTAGTTATCAGCACAATAATTCTCCCGATATAAAAAAATTACCAACTTCTCAAAATTATTAACAAAGAAAAATCAACAGAATCATTAAAGGAGAGAGATAACGCCAAAAGGTGAATAATTTGCATATTTTTAAACAAAAACACATGTCAAAGTGATCACAATATTTATCGGGCCAATCATTTTACTAGAAAGTTTCGGTCGGAAATAAAAATTCAAAAAATTTCTTTTAATTCAATCTTTTTCAACGTTATTAAAAGAACCAAGCAAGTTTTTTTTTAAAACTAGTAAAGATCCACATTCCGAAATATTGTCATACCGAACGGAAAAAAGTAGATGGTATGACGCAGTAAGTATTAATCTGATACGGTTATTTTTGATAATCCTTTGCCAATGTGCAGCAAGCAGCGAATCTTAAAGTGGAAATGTTCGAAAACAAAGAACTGAAATTCAACTAAATCGCAGTAATTATCTTCTAAAAGAACCCATAAATTGTTCGCGGAAATATGATATGATTACAGGACGAACCACGCGATTGATTGTTCCTTTGTTCAAGGGTCCCTTCCCCAAAAAGTGACTGCAAAAAAAGTTTTAGTTGAAAACCCCATCATTTTTACCAAACACAACATGAATAAACAACAAAAAACCAGAAATGAGTTAAATCCTGTTCTAAATCCTGTCTTCTCCACAAATTACCTTGTCAAGATTCTTCGTGTAGCCAAGGGAAAAAAAAAAATAAAAAAGAATGTCACCTTGTGTTCAATTAAAGGTCACGCTTTAGTAAACTCCTCAACGCCTTCATCTAAATTTATTCTTATCTATATTGATAATACAATTATTAAACGTATTGTCATTTTTACCTTAAGTGCCAATTATTTATTATTTAATTTAAATAATATTTTTTTTTTTAACTGCTCTCTCTTTATTTGATGGTCACAGCATTGTGGGGAATATTAGAAATATTTTCCCTCCAATCCTTTTAGTTAAAGTCACTTTTTTATCACATTCTTTATTTTTGAAGAAACAAAGGAACTTACCAAAACATCAATTATATCTTGACTAAATTTGGACCTTTAAAAAAAAAATTACGCCAATGTTAACATTTATCTTCATAGTAAAATTGATACATCACGGTTACAGGGAGTAATCCCAGTTATTTGCTTAGCATGTATTCACCTTTTCATCCTCTTTACCCACCACGACAATCAATGATAGAAGCTACGATCAACGTTCTCTTCCACGCAGTTAATAAACTTCAGGGGTTCTGATAGTTTTATGATTTCTTTGCGCGTATGATTCTTGCGTTTTTAATTTTATTTATGATTTTATAATTATTTTTTTAGTATCAAGTTAAAATCATTTGTGGAGCAACAATATCACAATTCAAGAATTTAATGTATTTTTAGTTAGGGTGTTTCAATTATACATTAATATAAATAAATAAATAAATAAATCCAATTATTTATATTATGCACGTTGTTTTGAGTAATCTAAATAATTTGAGTAATCTAAATAAATCAATTTCGGGTGAGTTTATTATACAAGTTCCTGCAGTTTCCAACTGTAAGCACTGTCCATATTGAAAAAATTTGTCTAATGGACACTTTTTTATTTTTTATTTTCACATCTATTTAGTCGAATTGACAAAAAAACCAACTCTCTTTTTTTCCTTTTTTTTTTTCAACTTTTAACTTCTTTTTATTCTTTTTATTTATTTTCTTAGACTTTTTTTTTTTCCTCATTTTAAAGAATTATTTTTTTAAAAAAAAATTTAGACGTGTGGTGTAGAATTCATATTTTTCTTTTTTATTTGCAATTACTATTTTCTCTCACTCAAGAGGATAATAACTCAAATCTTTCTTTCCTTCGTGGCTTCTAATTCTTTGGTGTTTATATGAAAGTCGCGCACTTCATACATACTTTGTAACCAATATACGGTTGTATACTCGTAACGCATATAGCCACAGATAGAAGCACCACACACCATACAATTTTACCGTTTCTCATAGAATATTTGGCATTACATTACACAACTGTAATTTTGAAGCTTTTGTAAATACATAATAACCTTTGCATTCATTAACAACACCTTTTACTCATAACACACTCTAATAAAAAGTATAGATAAAAGTTTGTCAGAATATCATAAAAAAATATATATATATAGATTTCTTTTTAAATTTAGATTTTCCCTTTTTTCTCTAAACAAATTCATTTAAATTCATTCCGCTGGCTCCCAATCTTGTACCAGTTACTCCGACAGATTCTGTTCTGTCCCCATTGTTCATGGAGCCAAGTCGTTGCTCGGTTCTGGTGGTTGATCGTTCTTGTATTGAACAAACATATCAACCTTCAGATACAGTTAACTTATGCTCTACAAAATCGTTTATAGCTCCCAGCGGTGACAGGTGCACTTGCGAAGTGAACAATAATCAAGATATTGATGCTTTGATCAAAATATTTTTGACAATTTTTGCCGAAGGTATAGTAAAAAGATTTTATTATTTTATTAATATTACTATGATTATTTCCCTTAGGAGATAGAATTGAATGTGAAAATTATTTAATTCGGTGCAACAATTCTATGTGTGTCAAATTAAGTTTATTATTGATTTTTAAATATATTTTCGGATCGAATGTTTATGATGATTATTTGGAGGAAAATTCATAGTATGTGTATTAATATGTGTAGACTAGTCGAATTGTTTTTATGGGGATCTCTTGTTTGTTTTTCTTTTCTCTCTTTTTTGGTGAAAACAAGTAAATTATTGTACATATATTTTTATATATTCACACCGTAGGAGCTTAGTATGCGTCCTTATTTAACTCCTTCGTACCATCAGAAAAAGTCTTACTGACTTGGGGTGGTATACACTTTGTGTGTGTAATATTTTTTCACAATTTCAGAAAAATTTCAAATGAATTAATTAAGATACTTTCATTCTATCATTATCAACAGTCGTCACTGTGCCATCTGGAACAAAAGCTTTGAGCGCATTGAGAAAAAGAAAAGTAGGATGTCCTCCTACTATTTTGTTGATAGATATTGATCATACTGAAAGTATTAGTCGGGATACATTTGCAAGGAGGGAGTCATTTTTAGCCATGACGGATGGCGTTTCTCTTGCTGAGATACATACTACAAAAGATACGTTATATGGTTTAGAGTTATTAAAGTATATTACCTTTGAAATTTCAAGAGGTGCATTGGAACAAGTCATTCCAATCGGTAAGTCATAGGTCTTTTTTTTTTAATATTATTATTGAGAAAGTTTACAAAATTCTCTCATTTATTTTATTTAGTTTGTTCTTTTAATGAAAATTCGGAATTCATGTTGGATTGTTTAAAGAAAGGAGCCGTAGATTATTTATTAAAGCCAATCGGACCGGAGGTTGCAAAGACTATGTTTTTGGTATAGTTTCTATTTTATACTGTTTTAATTATAATATTATAATTATATATTTTTCAGTTGATTAATTGTTCGTTATTATCCTTTTTATTATTATAGCATATACATCGAGTAGAATATCCTCGTCATATAATACGGAGAAGTTTAAATTTTAATGAAAGGCTTGATGAGATATTTGTAAGAGATAAATGGTGCGTTTCGGACAAAAAGACAATAGTTCTCTAAATATAGATGGATGATATCAAAAGAAATTTTAACCGTTCATTCATTCTTTAATGATTTAGGCTAACTGATACCATTATTCAATATTACACGCCATTATCTTCAATAGATCTCTCTTATTTTCCAAGGTATGCTATGCTATATTAATTTTTGGTATGATATGATACAGATATATATTAAACATAGACATCTAACAACAATAATAAAATTAGATTGAGTTCAGCCGCGGAACTAGAGAGAACTAATCACCTCAAAAAAATACTTACAGTGTGGGAATTTGATTCACATAATTTATCGGAAGAGGATTTATTGAGATGTGTCGTTATTATTTTTGAACACGCCATGGAACTTGATGAAATAAAAGAATTGAATGTATCAACTGGTATGAATTTGTTTATTTAGTGCATATATAAATATATATATATACATTTTTTTAATGAAAATAACATTTATTTTATCTTATATAGAACAATTACATAGATTTCTCTTAGCAATTCGACAAGCATATCACGATAGTAATCCATATCATAATTTCACTCATGCTGTGGATGTTCTTCAAGCAATGTTTTACTTTTTATGTGAAATGGATTTAATACCAAATTTTTTCTCGGTTGGATATAAACGACGGGGTAATAGTTGTAATCAGCAGCGTTATCGCCCTAATGATTTGTTGAGAGATTCTGATGTGTTTGCATTGTTGCTGGCTTCTATCGGTCATGATGTTGGTCATCCAGGCGTTAATAATGGTTTCTTGGTGAATACTCGGACCCCATTAGCTCAAATATATAATGATAAATCCGTATTAGAAAATTTTCATGCGATGACTTTGTTTAATTTAATGCAAAAATATGGATTTAAAATTTACGATAAATGCTTAAAATATTCAGGTAATTTATTTGTACAAGTTGATGTGATTAATTTTGTTTTAGATATTAAATGTATTTTATACTTTTTCCTTCATTATTAGAATTTCGAAAGGTAGTTGTGAATGCAATTCTAGCAACAGACATGCAATTACATAATAATTATGTGAAAGACATTAAGGGCCAACGATTAAGATTTGAATCACCAAATTTTGAACTTTCAAAAGTGGAAGAAGAAAAATCTATAATCGTCGGAGCGTTAATAAAATGTGCTGATATTAGCAATACAGCGAGACCATATCATATAGCTGAATCATGGTCTAATGTTCTGTTGCAAGAATGCTCATGTCAAGGGGATTTAGAGAGAAAACTGGGAATACCTGTGGGCCCATTAAATGACAGAAATACATCACAACCTGATTCTCAGATAGATTTCATAAATGCATGTGCGATGCCGCTTTTTAAAAGCATCAGTGAACTTATCCCAGGTATTTATAATATAGAGAGAGATATTATATTTAAAAAACAGAGCTTTTTTTTTTAAAAAAAAAAATCTTTTTGGTAATTAATTTATAGAAATGAATTTCACCGTTTCTTTTCTTGAATCAAATCGAAAAACGTGGAGTGATAAAAAGAAAAATTCTGGTACGGATAATCGTTCAAGACATAATAGCTCCGATAATGACTCTGGGGTTATTGGTAAGCAATTTCACCAAAACCCTAATAATTTCTCGTTATTTTTTTTTTTTAAAAAAAAAGCGAGTTTCTAAAATTCAATTTTTTTTTTTTTTAAAAAAAGTGAGTTTAGACAGTCGTCAAAATTCCCCTATAGTTGCCGTTCCTGCTGCAAGAATAATGCAACATCAATCATCTTTATCATATTTGCGACCTATGCCGAGTTTGTCCGATGGTCCAGGATCCGAGGCACATTCAGATGTTCTTAGTACAGCCGGGGCTTCCGATGCACCCATAATTCAACAAACTGGGGGGCATTCAAGGAGAAGATCTGTATGGTCATTCTTTACAAGAAGCAATCGAAGATCTATTACAAACAATCATGATAATAATTCAGATTACTGCAACAATGAAACAAGCGCTAGCATATTATGCTGTAACATTCAATAATCGTTCATTTGTAAAACGTGTTTTGCTTAAGGTTTTGGATTCTAATTTTATCATTATTTGAATCCATACTTATTACCGCACTGTTTGTACCACCTACCGTTTACATCAGTATAAGAGTCCTTCCGGAAGAAATATTCTAAGAATGATTTCTTGGATCATTTTCTGATTCCTGCTTGAGGGATTCTTGAGTCCTGAAATATTTTGTCTGCATCTTCCGACTGATTGTTATTCTTATTTAGATATGACAGCTAAAATATGTTAATAGGTGGTATAAGTTATTGAAATTTGCAATTTCAATTCCAATTCTCCTATCTGAACATCATCTCGACATCATTTTAACTTTTGAGCCCAATTAATTACATTTATTTATATATCCCAAAAATAATCATTTACATTAATACCCATCATCTGTATAAATAGCCACATATTTTTTTATCTTTAAAACACAATGTACTAATTTATCGCATTAGTCCGATTTCATCATTTTTTTTTTATTTTTTTTTTTTTTGTACAAATAGATAGAATTGTATATTTTCTTTATTTTATTCCCTAGTTTTTTTTTTGTCTTTATTCCATTTTGTACAGAATAGACAAATCATTGTATTTTTTTATCATCATCATATTTTTTTTTTATATTTATATTTACCTTTTTTATTATTTTATCAACACATTATTTTAGTTTTTTTATTTTATTTTATTTATTTTTTTAAAAAAAAAAGTATACAGAAAAAGATATTTATTTACCATCCATTTTTATAAAATAAAAGGCATTAAAAGAATTTTATTTATCAAATTTATTCGGTTTACAAGTCTAGTTATGATAAGAAAAGTCAAATTAATTATTGATAACGTTAAAGTTCTTATTTATATATTTTAATAATAAAATGATATAATGAATTTTTTTTTTAAAAAAAAAATATATTTTTTTTTTTGTAAAGTTCAATAACATACTGTATAAATACTTAAAAATAATAAATTTAATATAAATTTAATAACAAATTATTTAAAAGTAATCAAAAAAAAAAACAGTAAAAACAGTAGAATTAAATTAATATTCATATAAAAAATGCAAAAATATTATCAATTAAATCAAATTATAAGATATAGTAAATTATATGATTTGTAATATAATTTTATTAATAATACTTTTATAAAATAATTAAAAAAAATGTCATTAGCTATAGGTATCACATGATATATTTAACCCTTATATGTAAGAGACCTTCAACTCTATTATGCAATTCCTTCTCCTCTAACAATTAGCAAACAGATTCCTATAGAAATCTTAACCTAACCAAAATCCAAAAATCTTTTTTATAAATATATATTTATAAATTACTAATACTATTATAAATACTATAATCACTATGATCATATATCATATATTTACTTCTTATTAAAATGTTTTGAAAATATCAAATCTAATAACAATTTTATTCATAGTATTGCTTACCTAAGGATCAGATCAATTATAATCAAATTATATTAATGTTTTATTATTATTTTGCTTTTCTAGTTAATTAATTCATACTTATCCTACTATAATTCATATAATTCTATAAAAACAAAGGTTAAATAATTATATTTCAACTAAGAATACTTAGATATCTTAGATATATTCTAACTATAGATATCAAATTATGATCATTCAAATATAATCCAAATATAAATATCTATTATGGTCAAAAAAATATACTGTAAATATAAATGCAATATCTTTGTAAATATTTAACTTATTTGTCTAAAAATGAAACACATATTTTAAATAAAGAGTTATTAAATAAGCCAAATAGTATCAAAATCTAATCAATAGATTTCAAAATAATGCATTTAATATTTGGATAAAAATTTTTATTTAAATAAAGGATAATATAAATATCTTAAGAATATTCAATTAGCAATTGAAAATAACTGAACTCTAGATATATTAGAAATATTGAGTATATAATCTCATATGATACTAGACAATCAAATGATTTTGTTTCAAATTTTCATCACTGATATAATATCACGTGATACAATATTAGCTAATAAAAATGATTAAATTTTATATAACTAAAGAAGAAAATGAATTAAAACATTATTAACAAAAAAAGTATCTGTAAATTCTTTAAATTTTCTTAAATATTAATAATAAAAAAACAATCAATATTTGGTATATTAAATGTAAATTAATTGTAAATCAAAATCAAAAATAAATTAGGATTTTAAATCTAATTAAATATATAATATATTAAAGATTCTAAGTTTATTTAATTATAATAGAAAATTCAGGCTATCATTAGGCCAGTTTATTTCTGATCGTTTAGATTTTTGATCAGGTTTTGAGTTGATAATTATTGGCTGGCAAAATTGTGTAATCTGATCAACAATCTGAACTTTGCAAACAAAAAAAAGGTGGAATTTTTGATCAAATTTTTATCCACTGCCCGACTGCTATAAAAAATACGGTTTAATATACTAAAAGAATTTTATTAAATATGAACCAATTACAATTTAAAGGAAAAACTTTAACTAAACGTCCTAACTCTTCTGTTTCTTATTATAGAGCTGAAACTCAAAAAAATACATTAAACTTTACTTACTCTGCAATTTATTTTACCTAAACCAGTTCTTACTGAACCATAATCACAAAATATTCTTCTTCAACCTCAACAGCAACTTTCTGAACTTTCTCAGCAGCAGCAACGCTATCTTTAAAAGCAACAGCAATATGTCTTTCCTTTTCAATATTCTCCTCTTTAAGAGCAATATGTTTTTCAATAGCAATACAATTCTCAATTATATAATTCGTCTTCTACTTTAATTGAATTAAATGAAAATTATGATGAAACTTATTTGATAAGTTTTGTAATGTATATCTTAACTGTGAATATAAAATATTTATTAAAATTTATTTTAGTTTAGAGAAGATGATAAAATTTCTCAGCCTAAAAAGACCTGTATTTCTAAACAATCTTATGCTAAGAAAAAAGATGATGATGACAGTGATCAAGATTCCGATGAAAAATCTGATTAGAAAAATAGTAAAATTGAGATCTTATTTGATTATCTTTAAAAAATTTTATGTTTTGATCTAAAGGGAATAAAACTAATTTTATAGTGACATGGCAAAGAATATTTTATCAAATAAAGAAGCAATTGCAATAAAGAGTAAGTTTTTTATTTTGCTTCTTTATAAATAAATATCTTAATCTTTAATTTTTTTTAAATTATTTAAGGTAAACTTGCACGCTTAATAAAAAAATATGAAAATATTAAGAAGTATAATAATCAATCTGAAGTAGAATGAAAAGATTGAGAATGGTATGATAAACTAAATATAATTTTTGGGGCACATGAAAATATATCATCTTCATTTTTGACTAATAAGTTAACAGATATTATAATTGAGGAGGAAATCAAAACTAAAAAGGTTAATAAAAAACAAAAGAACAAAAATAATGTTGAAGTTATGATTACAGTAATAGCTGAAATGTGTCAAATATATGAAAAAATTTGAAAGCAAAAAATGATGTTAAAAAAGAAAAATTAGATAAAAGTCATGAGTTAAAAAAGGAACGATTAAAAATTGAACAAGAAAGATTAGCATATAAAAAAGAACATAAAAAGAAAAGAATAAAAATAGAATATGATTTAAAGGTGAATGAATTAAAATTAAAATATAAAAAAAATTAATGTAATATTTTAGTTTTTAGTTTTATATTATAATATAATAATAATAAATATTTTTTAATTAAATTAAAAATTTTATTAATTTTGTTAAATGAGTAACTGATTTATTATTTGATTTCTTTTTATTTCTTCTGCTCTTTTTAATGGATTTTCATTTATATTTTAATAATCAAAATCAAATTATGATTTTCAATATTTGAAATCAATTTCGATATTTGAAATGATTATTAATATTTGAAATTAATTTTGATATTTGAAATGATTTTTGATATTTAAAATTAATTTCGATATTGAAATGATTTTTGATATTTGAAATTAATTTGATATTTGTTGATATTTGAAATTAATTGATTTTCAATATTTGAAATTAATTTTGATATTTGAATGATTTTGATATTTGAAATAATTTCAATATTCGTTTAAATATTTTTTAAAAAACTTTCAAATATTTAAAATTCAATTTGAATTTCAAATGAAAATCCTAAGTATTATTACAAGTTCAATTAATAAATAAAGGAATTAACTTTTGAAATATAATTAGTTTTTTCTTTTATATATCTATCATCTAAAATTTGATTGTGAACCACTATACTAACTTGCTTTTGAGTTTATCACTTAGAATAAATAAATTCTTTATATTTTCCTAAGTCTCTAAACCTTTAAGTTCGTAAAGTTAAGTGAAGTAATTTTAAGGCATTTTAGATACCTGTAAAACCTGAAATTCCTTAAGGTTATAAAGTTTGATGATAAGGAACTTACTTGCTACAGTAAAATAATTTAACGAAATATGTATAAAAATAATTATTTCTGGTAACAGCATGTTCAAAAATCTTAAGTTATATGCAGATTTTATAAAATTTATATATATGTATACTTTGCATATCTAATTTTAAATACTACATATTTATCTCTTTCTATTATATAATTTATATGCAATCTTTCTTGAATATATAGAATTGTATATCTATTTCATAAATTATTATACATATTTATTTTTTCATCATATAAATTAAATATAATTTTTTTAAATATCTATGATACAAGAAGTTTATTCTTAACAATAAAAATGTAATACTTAAAAATCTTTCAAGATTTTTAAAAATAAAATTTATAAGAAATAAACTGATAATTTTATTTTTTAAGATAAGCTTTATTAAATTACTGATCAGATTTATAAAATAAGTTCTAGATAAAAAGTTATAAATAATTGAAGTTATATAATTTTTATATGATTAGCTCAAATTTGAAGTAAAATTAAATCATGTTTATATGATTTGATTGGTCAGAACTTATGATAATTCAGTTTAACATTAAAACAATTATAATAGGCAGTTCATTTCTGATTGTTTGGATTTTTTATTGCAAAATCAATTAATCAATTCAAACATGTGATCAAAATCAGAATTGAGTATACCAATTTTTAATTAATAAGTTTAAATTTTTTTTTTAAAAAAAAGATATATCGTCAAATTATTGAAAATTCATTAATAAAGCTTTTTATTAAGTCAAGCCAAGTTTTTGATGACTCTGATAATGAATCAAATAATTCTGATTCTGAAGAAGAACTACTTAATGCTGAAGATGATGAAATAATTCTTTTGGGATTATATACTTTATTAGATTCTCATTATTTAGAGTTACGTTTTCGAAGTAATATTACTAAATCTCAAGAGTGATGACACTCAATTGTTCCCAAATATGATAACATTAGATTTAAAAAAATTATGAGAATGAATTCCTAAAGCTTTCAAAGTCTTATAAATAATATTAAAATATACACAGTTTTTCAATCAACTGGTAATAAACAGCAAGCTCCAGTTGAATTACAACTAGCTATTTTTTTACGAAGAGTTAGGTCAAAAGATGATATTTTTAATATATATTCACAATATAGTATTTTAGAAAGCATTGTTTATCTCTATTATAAGAGAATCATGTTGGCTATTCTTTCATTAAAAAGTTTATTAGTTGTATGACTAGTGATACCTGATGAAATTACTTTTCTTAATATGATGAAATTGACGAAATCAAAATGACAAAACTAGTTTTTATTTTTTATTAATGACAAAATTATTTTACTTAATTGTCAAAATTATATTTAACTTGATCAAAATTCCTTGAATTAAAATACATTAAAAAATATAATAATTTTATATTTATTCATATAAAAATATTAAAGAAACGAAACTTTTGACGAAATTACAATTTTCAAAAAAGAGTTTAGTCAGGTATCACTATGTATGACCAACAGGACAAATAAAAAAGATAGTTCATTCAGGCTTTAAAGATATTGGAGGATTTAACAATATTATTGATGCTATTGATAGTACTTATATAATCTTAGGAATTGCTCCATTAAAATAACCTGAGATATATTGGAATTGTAAAAAAAATATTCAATTCAATATTAAGGTATTGTTGATTATCGTAGCATTTTATTGATTATGAAATAAGATAAATCAGTTTATGATGCAAAGGTATATCAAAATTCATTTTTTTATCAAAATATTTCTATACTTATAAAAGGATGGAATTATTTATTAGGAGACTCAGCATATCCATTATCTAATTTTCTTATTAAACCTTTTACTAATACTCAAAATAATTTATAAATATAATTTAATATTACTCATTTTTTATATCATGTAGTAGTAGAAAATGCTTTTAGTAAACTTAAGAATAGGTTTGGTTGTTTAAAAGATTTAAATATTAGGAAAATATCAACTGCAGTTTGTTTAACTGAATGTTGTATAATTTTACATAATTTTTTGAAAATAAATAATGATAATTGGGAAATAGATAATAATAATAGTAATAATAGTGATGATAGTAATGATGATAATAATGATAATAATAATAATTATGAAGGTAATTTAAATATTTTTTAATTTTCATTTTTTAATATTTATTTTTTGGTTAGTTATTTATAATAAAAATTATAAAAAAAGTTTCTTTTGAAATTATCAAAAGATGGGTTTTTTTTCTTATTAATTTCTTTTTATTTTTTTTTTAGAAATAAATCTTTTAAGATTATACTTCTCATTAAGCTAATTTTTTAATGAATTGATATATGCAAGTTATAAAAATATCTAACTTTATAATTCTAATGTATACACTTTTCTTTATTTTGATTATAATCTTCATTTAGAAGAAAATCAAAAAAAGAATTTACATCAGAAAAATTTAATACTAAGATAATAATTATCATTTTCTTTAAATCAAACTATTAATTTTTTTTTTGAATATGATATTTAAAAACTAAATTAACTGACTTTTCTTCTCTTATGATTCATCAAAAAAAAAATTTAATAACTTTAAAGAATATATCATCTGTTTAAAGAAGAATTACTTATATTCTAAGAAAAAAATCATTAAAAAGATTATAATAAAATTTAAAGCTAAGCTATTTAGTTAAGAATCTTCAAATAATTATTAATATATTCTCAATTTATTAAATGCTGATAATTTGAAATAAATCTTATTTCTTTTCTTTTAAATTTCTATATATTTTTAATTTTAATATTATTTAATTTGTCTTTTTCTTATTTAATTTTTCAAAAGTTAACAATTATACTTTTGACTCTTTTACTTTTATTTTTGTTTTTTTCTAAATAAAATTTGTCATTATTATTTGTTATTATATATTATCATATTATATAATCAAAATAAAATTTCATTTTATTTAAAATTATTTTTAAGTTCAAAATATGAAAGGTGTATATATGTTGTAAATAAAATACTATTTTTTATTAAAAATCAATTGCTTTATATACAATTTTATATAAAGTTTAAAAAAAAATTTAATTTAAAAATAAATAATTTATTTATTTATATTATTGCAGATTTCTTAACATTTTTTGCGTTAATTTTAGTAATTACATCAAGTTTTAATAATTTAATAAATTATGTTAGTTTATTTTAGTAAGTTTTAATTTTAAAGAATTTTTTAATAATTTCATATAATATTACTTGATATTGATTTATAATACAAATTATAAATGATTAAAATTCCAAATATATATGTTCAAATGATTAAAATTTCAGATATTATTTTTAAGATATATTCTGAAAAATCAATATTCCTAATATTATTTTATGATAAATTTCAAATGATCAATTATTTTAAACATCAATTATTATCTCAAATTATATAATATCTAATTATTTTTCAGATATTTTTAAGATGCATCTGAATATTTTCAGTAGTATTTTTTATATGTTTATTTTATAGCAATTGTTTTTTGATTTTTTATTAATTATTTTTTGATTTTTTTTAGATCTTTTGCAAGATCAAATTGGTAAGTTTTTTTTCTTTTAATGAATTCTTTATTATTCTATAAGGTTTTTTTCAAGTTGGATTCTTATTAATTTAATAATTTATTTATTTTTTTTAGGAATGAATCTTTTATATGATCAGATCAGTAAGTCTTTAGATTCTTTAGATTTTTTTCAGATAGGTTCTACTAATAATTCTTTTATTTTTCTTTAGAATAGATTCTTTATTTTCTTGAATAGATTATATAAGTATTTCAATCCTTTTTCTTCAGAATAGTTCTTAATTCTCTATTAATTCTTTTTATTTTCTTTTTTAAGACTGATTTTTCATTTTTTAGATAATTAGATATATCTTTAAGCATTTTGGGATTTCTAATTCTTAATTTTTACCAATTCTTTTTTTTTTTTTTTTTAGAAATGAATCTATAATAAATAAATAATATATATAGTATTATTTTTTAGATGTTTTTTAATAGAAATTTTAATTTATTACTATAAATAATTGTATTAGTATAATTTTAATTTATTATAATTTAAAAATATATTTATATTTATAAAATAAAATTTTATTTATTCAAAATACAACTAAATTAATAAATTTGAAGTAAATTTGCATTTCTTTTTAAAAAAATCATTTTTTCTACTTTAACTGATTTCAAATTACTTCTTTTACTAGAAATAACATTATCTACAACTGAAAACAAATGTTCACTAGAAACTGATATTGCTGTTATTCCTAAATATTCTTTAGCTAATTAACTTAAAAAAAGAAATTTTATTTTGCTATTTTCCCACCAAATTAAAGGCATAATTTTTCTATTGGATTTTATTTTTAAGTAATTATCAACTTCATTTTCATCATTTTCATCAGAACTTTTATCATCATCTCCAAGTATCATATTTATAATAGAATCATTTTTATATGATAAATCTACATTACTTTGTATTTCCAAAACATTATTATTATTATTATTATTAAATTTGAAGATTTCATATTTATTAATAAGTAATGTGATTGCTTTTAATTTTTTACTATCAGTAAATTTTTGTAATTTTTTAGTATAAGGATCTAATATAGTAGAAATTAATCCAACCTCTGTAGAAACAGTCCAATATTTATTTATTGCTATTTCTAATACTTTTATAACTAAAATAATTAATCTATCTGTTTTTATTGATTTTGAAATATCTAATTTTTTTTGACCTTTTTTATCAAATTTTAATAATGTCAGCTGCTGTATTATCAGAAATTTCATCAAATTCTTCTAAAATTTCTTTTTGAATATTTATTATATTATTATCAGAAAATAAATCTGTCAATATATCAGAATTTTTATTATTTTAATTATCTTAATAAAAATCTAACATTTCTTTAATATGATTTTTTAAATTAAAATTATTGGATATACCAAAGATATAGTAATATAAATATAATTAGATTCTTCTAATAATTTGATAACTATTTCAAATTTTTCCAAAATTTTAACCAAATTTTTTATTAAATTCCATTCATTTTCATTTAACATAGTTCTTTCAAATTTTTTTCTATCACTCTTATTTTCTTTATTATAATCAGCTTTTAATTTATTTGGTAAATAAATTAAAGCTTTTTTTAATTCTAATAATTTTGTTCAAGAATAATATGAGAAATTCTATCTAGTTGGAATATCTTTAACTATTTTATAAACTTTAAGATTATTTAAATTTTTTTGTGCTGCTATTAAATGTTCTAATTGTTTAGGTGAATTAAAAAAATATATCAATCTTTTAACTCTTAAAACAAAAATCTAAATATTTTAATTCACATTTAAAGCTTTTCTTATAACTAATTGTAATGTATGAGAAACACATGAAATTCTATTAATATTATACTCTTCACCTAATAATCTAATAGCTTTAATTATGCTACCAGCATTATCTGTTGTAATAAAAGATACTTTATGATTTATATTCCAATCATTTATAATATCTTCTAATTT